ACGAAGTACACTGCTGAGGGGAGCAGCGGGCGGGTCAGGAGAGGTCTGCCACGCCATGTGGTCTCTTCCGGGGCAGGCGCGAATCGAACTCATGCGGAAGCGGCTTTAGATTCTCAGTGCTGTGCTTTAACCCGCTGAGCCACTAGGGAGGGCCACGGGGCCTTTTTAAAGACACTTTAACTGATAAATTGCTCATAACACGCGTTGGGTTTATTTCTACTTCAGTGGTCTGCATATTTACTTTTTTTCCAATAGCATACTCTTTTGAACACTATAGCATAGTTGTTTTATTGATAGTATAGTTTGAAGTGTAGGAGTATGATACCAGCGTTCTCCTTTTTGGAAAGATTGCTTTGGCTACTCAGAGTCTTCTATGGCTCCACATGAATTTCAGTATGTTTATTATATACTTTGAAGAAAGCCATTGGAAATTTGATAGGGACTGCACTGAAATCTATATATTCATTGGGGAATTTGGTTGTTTAAGCAACATTAATGCATTAAAAAATTTATTCACTTTCTTACATTGTTAATTTGTGGACAGTATTTGATTTCTCCCCTCAGTTGTAGTCCCTGTAGTTCTCGCACCACCACAGCATCCATGATCCATCACTACAGTCCCTTGTGCTGGCCCATTTCCTCCCCCCCCCCGCCCGCCCCACAGAACACAGGTCTTCTTTTCTTTTTTTTTAAAATTAAATTTATTAAGTTATATATCAATTTACAGCATTGTTCATTTTAAAACAATGTTTACTTCCCCTCTCCCCCCATTTGCCTATGCATCATAATCACAGTCCCCCACATTCCTCCCTCCCTCATTCCAATACCTGTTCCTCCCCTGACCTGTAGGATATCTCTGGCTTATAATTTTTTTTTTTGGTATTATAAGTGAAACCATTTGATAGTTTTCTTTTTCCTTCTGACTTACTTGGCTTTCCTATTTTGATCTCTCTCCCTCCCCCTTCCTCAACCTACCGCCACTGAATGCCTCAGATCTATGGTCATCTTGCAAGTTTTGTGTTTTTCCTTTGGCTTCTCTATATTACACATTATAAGTGAGGCTATCTGATATATTTCTTTTGCCGTCAGATTTATTTTGCTTAGCATAATCTCTTCTAGTTCCATTCATGTTGTCATAAATGGCAGCAGTTTATCATTTTTGGTTGCTGAGTTATATTCCATAGTATATATACACCACATCTTTTAAAATACATTCTTCTGTTTTAGAGCCTTTTGGTTGTTTCTGTACCTTGGCTATGGTAAACAGTGCTACAATAAAATAGAGGAGTGTAGATTTCCTTTTGGATTAATGTGTTCATGGTTGGTGAGATTCCAAGGATGGAATTGCTGAGGCATAGAGTAGACCCATTTTTAGTGTTCTGAGGAAGCTCCACACATCTTTCCATAGTGGGTGAATCACTTTACACTCTAACAGTGTAAGGGGTCTCCTTTATCACCACATCCTTACCAGCATTTGTAGTTTGTATTTTTTTTTTTATTATGGGCTATTTTCATAGGTGTGAGATGACAGCTCATTGTGGTTTTGATTTGCATTTTGTTGATAAGTGATATTGCACATTTTTTTATATCCCTGTTGACTATTTGCATTTCTTTTTTTGAGAAGTATTTAAGGTCTCCTGACCATTTTTTGATTGGATTGTTTGCTTTATTTTTGTCAAATTGTAGCACAAGAGAAATTACTGGCACAGACATGTATCAAATTATCATGTGGAAAGTATAGATTTTTCAAAATATTCACTTGCAAATGATATGACAGAATTATTAATATACACATCAGTTTACTTATTTTGCTTTAGATGTTAAATAGTATAAGGCTAATTATAATTTATATTCTTATAAATATATTAATATATACTTACATGATTAAAATAATTCTACAAAGTATCAGAGTCTTAACAGAATTTCTGTGACAAACACAGAATGTAAAACAATAAGAACCTGATCAAACTATTGAAAGCTATTATTCTTTAAGATGTTGCTGATAACTCATGGACACGGTAACATCTGAAATGCAAGGCAGAGCCACCAAATTTGCATTAACGTAAGCATAAGCTCTGTGAGCCACTGGTAGTCAAATAAGACTTTCATGACATTTTTCCCTCTGATCAATTCTATTTATTGCTGATATTGACAAAATAAAATATCTTTACTTGTAATTTTAATACCTAAATATCTCTCAGGCTTCAAAAA